TCAAACAAAAGGTCTGCTGGGGAGGGCGCTGGGGGGGAGTTGGGGGTGGGGGGGCCAGTGTCGCTTTGCTTCACTTTGACTTGGCCACCAAATCATAATTTTCTTTCTCCTCACAGATGCTTCCTTACGGGAATTTTCCAATTTTTTGAAGAATCTGGAAGAACAGAGAGAGATTATGGTGAGTGGAGGGATGCCAATTCGTAGGCCCCACTTGAGGTCAGGGAAAATCTGGTTCTGTTGGGATTTGGGGTGTATCTATCCATGCCCGAAGGAGCCCTTGTGGTGTAGTGCCAACAAACATGTTGGGCTACTAACCAGAAGGTCAGCAGTTTGAAACCACAGCTGTTCTGTGGGAGAAAGACGAGGCTGTCTACTCCCATGAAGAGTTGGTCTTAGGAACCCATGGGGGAGGTTCTACCCTGTCAGGCCGGGTCGCTGTGAGTTGGTGTTGACTCGATGGCTGTGGGTTTGACTTGGCTTTACCTTGCCGGAAGTAGTGTGTTGTAGTGGAAGGAGCGAGGCCAGGGCTGGGTGTTGGGAGCTCCAATTTCGAGTACTCTGTTGGTGCTGACAGCTGTGTGATCTTGAACCTGTTGATGGACCTCTAAGCCAAAGAGTGTTTCCCCATCTTTTAAAAAATGGATGGATCGGACTAAGAGCGTTGCCGTCCAGCTTTTTGTTAGCAGTGGGGACCCACTTACATTAAACCCACTCCTCACTAACCAAGTGTCTCATCATCAGACATTTATGACAGCAGAAGAAACCTACTTTGACGATTTTGTACGTGAGCAAGGTAGTGGGGTATGCAACGCTAGTGCCTGAGAGCCCCTTCCTTTGAGGAGAATCTTCAGGAAGCTGGGCTGTTCTGTTTTGTGCCTTCTGCTTCCTCTTGCTGGACTGGGCACCATGTCCGGCTACCCCTCGGGTGAGGCTCCTGTGTGGCCTCAGGCTCCAGGTGAAGGCTGCAGGCAGCATCGATCCAGTAAGCTTGGATTTCCAGCTCCTAGGCGACTTCAGGATCTGCAGCTCAGAATTGCGGTGGGGAGAGAAGGGCGGAAAAAGAGGAATTAATTGGCAAGGGTGTTTGGAAGAAATGCACGCACGTTTAATGGCATCCCAAAGTGAGCTGAACCGGACTTCTCCTTGCTTCAGGCAGACTCCCAGGTGACCTGGCAGGCAGCCCTGAGCCTTGGAGGGCAGAGCAGGGCCCAGGGCAGTCAGGGGTGAGGGAGGCCGCTTTGTGAGAGAGGCTGTGGCCCAGCACAGGAGGAAGATGAAGTGTTTAAGCTGTGGGCCCATCAGTCACAAATCCTAGCTTAATCCAGCTTTATCTCCTACAAGCCTCTACTTCTGCAGAGGACTAATCCATCGCTGGACTCGTCAGTGAGGAGCACACCCGCACATCTTAGCTGTTAACGATTTTGATGACCATGTTTGCTGAATCAAAGAAATCTGACAATTGCCTGATCTGAAAACGGGAGAAAAAATCTTTCACTTTCCCATAACAGCCTGGCCTATGAAACCTAACCATGTGGCTAAGGGAGGAGTCGGGTACATGTTGAATCGTACACCGAACTGCAATAAGTTAAAACAGATGAGAGAGATCCAAGAAGACTGGACACATTTGAATTGCGGCGCTGGCCAAGGATAGTGAATATCCTCATGGTCCGTCAGAAGAACAAACAAATCTCTCCGGGAGGAAGTCTGGCCAGAATGTTCTTAGACCTGAAGATGGCAAGGTTTTGTCTCCCGGTACCAGAGGCTGCGCACTGGAGGAAGCTTGGGAAGAAGTAGGTCCGATTGGCCCCATGAGGGCTGCTGTGGGGGGAGAGTTGCAGTATGTACAGTCTGATGAAGACATGTATCCTCTCAAAGCCCTAATTTACAGTGTTCATGAACTCTGAGATAATCTGTGACCTAGAGTATTGAGAGCACCTTAGAGGGCATGTCAAGGTTGTGGCCCTGTTAGTTTTTTTCTGGCACAAGCTGACAGGTTCAGTCATTATTCATGCGATCCTCTAGTCATTAATTTTTTAGAGTTTTGAGCAATACTAAATGTGATAGTGGATAAAAATAGTGCCACCACATCACCTTTCTTGTGCTGTCAAGTCCCCGTGGCTCTGCTGTTGTATCTCCAATCCCACTTTTCTGAAAAGCTGAACCTTCGGTGAAGGTTGAAGGCTTGCCGCTTATGTTCTTGTTACTGTTTAAGAACCTGGGGTTCCGTGGAAAACAAAGCAAAGTGCTGGCGCTCATGGGGGTGACAGTCTAGAAAGAGGAGGTGTACATAAGCACCTCACACGTTGCCAAGCGTCAATACATGCTGCCAAACAAAGTTGAGCAGACTAAAGGCCAGAGTCGGGCTGCATGCTGTGTATTTGAGGGCTTACAAAAGTTCATAGAAAACCCCATTATCCGTTCCTGTCGTTTTCCATGAACTTTCTAACGTTCCCTTGCCTCGACTGATAAAACTGAAAGCCCAAATCATTGCTATAGAGTCGATTCCAACTCATGGCAATCCGATAGGACAAGCTAGTACTGTTTCTAAGACTAGATATTTACGGGAGTAGGAAGCTTCATTTTTTTTCTCCATCAGAGCAGCTGGTGACTTCACACTGCTGACCTTGCACTTAGCAGCCCAGCGAATAAAACAGTATGCCCCCAGGCCTCCGATAAGGGTGATAAGGGTAAACTTTATTCAGCAGAAATCTAGCTTGGCCACCTGGGGAGAATTCCAGGCAGAGTGATGCTTTATTTGAGATCTGCAGAGACACATGTGGCCACTACCTGTCATGAGATTCTATTTCTGCTCTATATTCCTAGAGATGAATTGAGTAGGTCACATTGGAACATGGTCTCTGTGCCAGGATATAGATAGCATGGTTATACAGAGTCTGATATAGATCGCATGGTTCCCAGAGCTATTGTTAGCCACTTATTGATGTATTCTTCGGCTGCGGTGAAGGTTGATGGAGTGGGGTCTCAGGTAGGGCAAGGATGACAAGGTTGGGTTTCCACTG